TCAAAAAGAATACAAAAATGATTTAAAATATAAATTTTTTTAAACATTTCAAAAGGATGTGAGATTTTTTAAACATTTCAAAATGAGTACAAAATCTATTTGATAAGTTTTGGCGAAATGTATAATTTCAAACTGTAATACTTCAATGTAACACTCAAACGTAACATTCCAATGTAATACTCAAAAAAAAAAAATCTTAATGTAATACCTTAATGTAACACATAAAAAAAAAATCATTACTGTATTTTTTCTAAACATAACACTCTAAAAAAAATCTTAGTATAACACTCTAATGTAACACCAAAAAAAAAAAAATCCTTATTATAACATTCTAATATAACACACAAAAAAACTCTTTAGTGTATTTTTCTAAACGTAACACTCTAATATATCACTACAAAAAAACTTTTAAGTGTAACACTCTAATGTAACACACAAAAAACTTCTTAGTGTACTTTTTCAAATGTAACACTTTAATGTAATACTCTAAAAAAATTGTAGCGATCCTAATTTTCTTAAGTCATTATTTATTATTGTCATTATTATTTTATTTTATTTTTGACTTTACTAATTGTGTGGTTACATGAGAATTTAATGTGGTGTTTAATTAATTTAATGTGTTATTTAATTAATTTAATGTGCTATTTAATTATATATAATTAATCTGAATAATTATATATATAGATAGATATATATTTATATTATATATATATATATGTATTGATCATGTATAATATATTTATATATATTGTATTTATATTGTATTTGTATAAAATAATATAATATAAAAAAATAAAAATAAAAATAAAGGGGTGTTATATTATAAGGGGATGTCAATTAGGTTATAAGTGCTAGGGAGGGCTTTGGGGTGTGGCAGGAGAGAGAGAGAGAGAGAGAGAGAGAGAGAGAGTGAGTGATCATAAAAGAAAGCCGCAGGAAGAAAAGGAAAAAAAGAGAGGCAACGGGGAGAGAAAGAGGAGAGGGAAAAAAAATAGATTAGGATTTTATTTTGGTAGTTCTATTAATTTTTTAAATATTTTTTGGATCCTTAAAAAAATATTATAAGTACAAAATTCACTTCTCTTGATTTATATTTAATTTGTTGTTTTTACTTTTTTATTTTTATTTATTTGATGTTGGTTTGATTTTATATTTACATGAAGATGATTAATTGATTTTAATTATTTTGATTAATTGTGTATGTAAGATTTAGAATTTTTAGATGATTGATTGATTTTAATTATTTTGATTAGTTGTGTATGTAAGGTTTAGAATTTTTAGATGATTGATTGATTTTAATTATTTTGACTAGTTGTATATGTAAAGTTTAGGATTTTTACATGGATTTATTTTATGATTGTAATCACACACATGAATATATAAAATTAAAATAAACTTGGAACTCATAGATAAATTCCTTATACTCCACCATGACTCCATGGATTGTTGTTTTATTTTAGTATTGGTGAGAAAAAGTGTATAAAAAAATGTGAGGATTATGAAATTTATTTGAATGCCTTAGGCTTAACATTATTATGTTTGTTCTCATAAGTGGATGAGAGATTGTGTATATATATTGTTGTCCTGTTCTCATAAGTAAACGAGTGTTTTGATTTACGCGCGTACGTATATGCTAACCATCCAAAGAATGTGAGTTAAACTCGGGACGATATCTCCGTGCAAGTTTGGCTTCAGAGCGGTGTTAGGTATACAGGAGGCACATGAGATATATGTGTAGGTTGGAAGTGGAGGCCGAAGTAGTGGAGTTAAGGTACAAAGAATTTAATTATGAGTTTATTAGTATAGTGTGAATTGTACTGATTTATATATCTTGAAAAATAATAAATGACCATGGTAAATTATGAAATTTGAGCAGAGGCATGTATACATGATTCTAGACAACTTTTGTGTTTTAACTTTTTATTAAAAAGATCGACTAGAACTTATACTCCGATGATCTTGGTTATAGTAGTTTGGATTCATTTTAGCAATACATAATTTAGAGGCTGTTTTAACTCATGAAATGAGTTCATTTTTATTGGTTTCGCACAAAATGAAGTAAAACATTATTCTGAACACTTTTCGTGTTTTGAACTTTTCCGAAAAAATTTATCTTACAGCAATTTCTTTTCGTTTTCAGTTTCAGATTTTTCGATCAAATTTCGTTTAAGATTTTATATTAAGTTTTTCTCTCAACCTGTTCAATTTCTACTAAATTCGTTCACGTAATCTTTTAGGAAATTTAATTCTGTACAACTTTTATTTTTTGAGTTTTGGTCAATTCGAATTATTTAAGTATGAAACGGTACATTTTTATACTTCTTTAGCAAGTTACTTATGATTAAATTATACTAATTTTATTTTTTTGCAGGATGGTGGGTCTTACTAACTTTTTATGCAGGGCTAACTCGCCATATTTTATTTCTATTTTGTTTATTCCATACTCAATTTATATTTCCTTGTGTACGGATAAAAAACTAAATGCCACCGTATCTCGAGCAACTATCCATTCGTCTTGGTACAAATGGAACTACTTGTCTTATCCCGTAACAAGAATTAAATGTATTTTTGTTTGTGTCTGGTGGACACGTGAATATTAAATCTTGTACTCATACCAGTATACCTGTATACTGACCCATTTTCTCTCTTGGCGACTCGAGTGCGTTCTATTTGAGCGCAGCCGAGCTTCCTTTGCAAGATTAGTTGGGGCTACGGTGGTGACGTGGAATAACTATACTTGTTGGACATATCGTTTAGACTATTTTCTTGAGCTTAAGATTGATATTAGCTTATTTATTTAATATATTTTTTTTATGACCTTAGCATTTTGATAATTTGGTATGGTTTGTAACTTTACATTATTTAAGTTATTTTGACTAGTTATTGTTACTTTAATATTGAAGGTATTAGTTAGTTATGAAATTGTGGTAGATGGTTTAGTTGGTGTTTTGTTAGTTAGTTTTTTTTTTTTTTTTTTTCCTTGTAATCTATTGAGAATGGAAATTTACTTAAATCCTTTGGAGACGAGAACATTTAGTTTTTTTTGTTTCACCGCTAAGATTTAAATAATGGAATATTGATTAGGGTTTAGTCCTAATTTAATATTTAATTGTCTAAATTTTGGGGCGTGACAAAAATTCTTAGTGTAACATTCTAATGTAATACACAAAAACTCCTTAGTGTAACATTCTAATGTAACACACAAAAAAATTTGTTAATGTACTGTTTTCAAACGTAACAGTTTAATATAGCACTTCAAAAAAATTCCTTAGTGTAACACTTTAATGTATAACAAAAAAAAAAAAAAAAACTCTTTTGTTGCACTTTTCCAAAACGTAATGCTCCAATGTAACACACACACACACACACACACACACACACACAAAACATTCTTAGTGTACTTTTCCTAAACGTAACACTCCAATGTAATACTAAAAAAATAAATAAATAAAAAGAATGGGAGGTTCTTCAAACCATTCCAAAATGAATACAAATATTCTTTAATAAGTTTTAGGCAAATATATAATTTTAAATTATGAGTGTTACATTTGACAAAAGTACACTAAGGAGTTTTTTTTAGTGTTTTTGTATGTCATATAGGAGTTACATTGGAGTGTTATGTTTGGGATTACTCTAATTGAAGTGTTACGTTGGGGGAAAAAAAAACACTAAGGTTTTTTTTTTTTTTTTTTTTTGTTACATTGGAGCGTTATGTTTGGAAAAAATACATTTTTTTTAGTGTTATGTTGTTACGTTTGGAAAAAGTACACCAATGAGTTTTTTAGTGTGTTAAATTGAAATGTTACGTTATTAAAATGTTACATTAGAGTGTTAGGTTTTTGTTCGTAATGTGAGATTTGTTCTAGAATGAAGGAAAATCTAAAATTTCTATAGTACAAATTGTCAAAATGTGTAATTTTACATTTTGAGAAACCCACTTTTATCCCTAAAAAATTAAACCCAAATATGTAAGTGATTACCTTTTATGTAATTTTCATTTTAATGAGACATTTGGGTTAATAAGAAAAAAAGGAGGGCTAAATAGATCAGAAGATCATATTTTAGGATTTATTGGTACTTCACCCTAATTTTTATTATTCATTCTGTTTTAAAATATTAGTTTCTTATTTTATTTTTTATTGTCTCAAAATATTAGTCTCTTTTCAAAAAAAAAAATTAAAATTAAAATAATATGAATTTCTTATTTTGTCATTCTTTTAAATTCATTAACAACACAAAAAGTACAATTATGATAATTGATATTTCCCAAAAAATGTACTATCAAGATAATTTTTGAAAATCAATATTTTAAAGTGCAATAATTGTACTACCAAAAAAAGTTAAATTCGTCAAAAGAGACTATTATTTTGGGACGAAGGAAGTATAATTTTTTTTTTCTAATGCAAAATTTTAAGAGTTAATTGGTAAAAAAATCTACTTGTATAGGTCCATGTATTATTTCGTCTAATATTTAATGTCTTATTTGATAATTACACATGTTGAAAAGCTGTCAACAATGGCGGTTGGTGGTGGTGAGGCAGACAAATTAGTGACATTGAACAAATAATTGAATTAATAGGTAACACATGTATAGATAAGTGACAAATAAGTGATATGTGTACAAATATGTGACATTTGAACAAATAGATAAATAAGTAAGTTTTGAACAGATAGATATCTTTTTGGACAAATAATATCTTTTCAACCCAATAAAATTTAAGATTAGGCATGTTAGTCCAACAGTTTCTGACTTAAATCCCCAAATTTTAATCCCACCTGTTTCATAATATTTCAAATCATAATCTTTGTTTTTTTCTTTTTTTAATATTGGAATTTCAAATCATAATCTTAACTGTCACGATCCAAACCCGCCCCTAAAAGTTTAGTATCGTAACCGACCAGTAATCCAAGATTACCAAAGGCCTTCCTGTAAAAAACATAAATAATCGGGGCTAGTGGAAGTAAAGACAAATTACCAAAAGTCCAATAAGCTGTGCATCTATATGAACAAATAAGTATATGCAAAAATGTTAATTTACCCACTTACATTACATAACATATAACAAAATATTTTATACAAAGCATGTGTATAACAAAAACAAAGCTTGCTAACGGCCTTCCAGGCCTAGCCCCAGCTCGGAAACACCCAAAACACTTGGTAGGCTTCAAAACGGTGGCTCGGTTCAAGACTCCGTCTAGGCTTGACTCCCAAAACGCTCACTTATACATATATATAAAAACAGTGAGCTAAAGCCCAGTGAATAACATTAACGTAAAGGGGTTAGTGAACGAATTCCAAATACAATATCCGTAAAACAAATCATATCATAATCAATCATATCAGTCTCATATCAGAATATAACGTAATGGTACATCTCACAAGATATAACCCATATCGTCTTCCGACTAGAGTAATCGGTTCCAGCTACCGATTAACAAATATCACCATAATAAGGTGGCTAACGAGATCTCGTATCACATATATGTCATGGACCCGCACTAATGTGTCGTCCCCCATGACTTGGGACTATCCGTGGATGCAATATTAGATTCGTAAATAGGATATTCGTTCACATAATCAAGATAGCACTTCGAGAAAACATAGCTTATCAATAACAGTTAAAACATAATTTATATCAACATATCTTTACAGAAATGTTACTCACAGTGGGCTTCCAAAACCAGTTGTGCGGTCTTCAAGTCTTAACCTACAAATACAAACATCATAGCACAATTCCTCAATACACATTCGAGTCAATTAGTTAATTCTAAACTTCATTCGGTCGTTCGATACTCGGTTGTTCAATTAGTTCTATTCTTTTCTTACTTTATTTTGTGCTTATGAGATGTATATGGATGCATATGACATGTGAAAACCATGTAAATGAAGGCCTAGTAGTCAGAAAATGACAAAAGAACAAAATCGAAAAATCTGCACTGTTTGGCCGCACGTGCAGTGGCCTTGGCCACACATGCGGTGGCTTGGCCGCTCGTGCGGTGGCCTTGGCCGCACGAGCAGTGGAACTGCAGAATGCATTTTGGCCCAAAACAAGGTTGGCCGCTCGTGCGGTGGCCCAGGCCGCTCGAGCGGTCTGGATGAAAAATCAGTCTGAAATTCTGCTTTGAAAGGAAACCTTCTCTTTTGCAAAATCAACCTCAAATTTATGAAAATCAAGGCCAAAACTCTAGAAAAACAACTTAAACTAAACATCATAACAATACTTAATGTTCATGTAAAGGATCAAAATCTTGCAATTATGGGCAAAGTCAACAACTATACACATGATAACAAATTCATGGAGTTTTATCCTCCATCTTCAAAATCATGCAAGAAGATAAGCTTATGAACATGGACTAGAGGATGTGAAGCCATGTATGAAAAAGTATGAGCCATCTTCCTTCAATTTCTTCCATATAAGCTCATAATGCTCTCTAGATCAAAATACAACACAACACCCTCGATTACACATAATTCCCCTTAATTCAATTTAATTTCCATGAGATCATGGGTGTATCAACCCTATGTCAAGAAATTAGAAGGAGATTCTTACCTTAGATAATTAATTAGAGAAGATTTGGCTCAAAGTTCCTTCTTTCTCCCTTCCTTTCTCTTGATCTCTCTTTCTCTAGAACTCTTTTTCCCAAATGTCTTCTTTTTGTTGAGCCAAATAAAGGCTCATATATATATATATATATATAAAAGTGTCTAAAGATTGAGCCAAACATGGCTTAGCGAATCAGACAAAATCAGTTTCCAATTAAACTTTCCAAATGGCTCTAAAAATTCCCAATAGCATATCTGCGTGCTCAATTTCGATTTCCGAACCCATTATGGTCGTCAATTTCAGTTCCGAAATTGTAGCTCCGACAGATATTTTTCCAATTCAAGCAGATATCCTCCAATTAATTCATATTATTGCATAATTAAATAAGAATAATTGTGGCATACGTTTTGGGGGCGTTACATTAACTCTACACTATCTTGGTCATCATTTTCAGTCATCATCTTTGACAGTCATTCTTGCCATATTTTGCCACTCCCTAGTCCATTTCTACCCTCAAACTCAATTCTGTTAATAGTGAAAGAGATCACGGAAGAGAGTGGAGTGATAGAAAAAAAAAAAATAGAGAGCTTACCTTCGATAGAGAGTGGAGTGACAGATTGAAGATGAGGAATAATGAGAAGAAGATAGGGTTGCTCTTATAAGAAGGGTTGCAGGTATATGGGTCATGGTGGTAAGAAGGGATTAAGAAGTGGCGATGAAGGGTGAGGAAAACCTGTTGGAAGTTGTGCCAATTAAAAATGGTGGATAGGGTTAAGATTTTGAAGATTATGGATAAATGTAGAGTTAGATATTAAAGTTGGTGTTTAAAAGGGAAAAAAAAAAAAAAAAACTCAAAATATTTAGACGATGGTTCAAAGATGGTAGGACAGCTCGAAATTAGAATTGAACATAAGAATTAGAAATCCAGTGCTAATTGAGAGGCATGCTGATGGGCAGGATATGGAAATTTTATTTTATTTTTTTCAATAAATCAGTTCGCATACCTCATTAAGAAGTGAATAGTTCAACTCCCCACATGTGATAATGTATTTTTTAATTTTCTTACATTGTTAAGTGTTTACTTTAATAATATTTATAAATTGTTTTTTTATTGAGAGTTGAAAAAAATGAGGATTTTTGTATTTGGATCTACTACATAATTTTATAGTAATATGGATGCCCTGAATAACACCTTAATCTCATATTTTGTTATGGGATTTGTTGTTGAAACATAACTTAAATATGCTGAGGGATAAGCATAGCTGGTGGGCCATCGCTCTAGAAATGAATCCCATAGTGCTAATTTAAAATAGTGATTGCTTAGGCTTTGCAGTACATGATTAAATTATACTATATGAAGACAAGTTGTCTAGCAAAATTAAAAAAAAAAAAAAAAAACGAGAGAGAGAGAGAGGGGGGGATATGGGATCTTACTTAGATATTTTTATTTTTATTTTTAGGTCTAAACCACCGGTATCCGGAAGTCCACAGAATTCCGACTAATCCGGTTCGAGCCGGGTAGGATCACAAGGGCGGCAAAGCTCTCCCAACAAGTTTTTAACACAGCTGCGTTCTCAAGTCTCGAACCCGAGATCTTGGTTAAGCTAGCATAGTCCCTTACCAGCTAAGCTACGTGCTTGTTGGTCTTAGATATTTGAGCCTTCTACAACTTTGATGGAAGGTTGGTTTTCACTGTGTAGGGTGAGCTTTCACTGTGTATGGTGAAAATAAATAAATAAATAAATAAATAAATTTAAAAAATATGACAAGGTAGAAGAGATAAAAGCAATAAGTAATCCAAGAGAGTGAAATATCTTCTCTTTCTTTTTTTGAAAAATGTTTAACATTTTCATTTTTTTTTTCAATTTGACCTATCTATCTATCTATATATTATATAAAAGAAAATAAAATTTCTAATCTACAAATTTTGTGAGAGCTCCAATATCCTAATCCTAATTTTCAAATTTTTTTGATTTACAAAGAATGAATAACCTCAGCATTTATTGACTTCTCTCAACTCATAAACCTTTTTTATTTCTCTCATAATTACTATAACACCCTTTTTAACTTCTCCCATACACTATGATTAGTGATAGGATTGTTAAATTTTTTTTTTTATATAAAAGACCTTAAAAAAAATGATTTGTCTATTAAAAAAATATCTAAAACAAATATAAATATCTATATCTATATATTATATAAGAAAAATGGGGTTTCTTATGAGAAGCCTCCTAAGAATTCTAAACTCTCATTCTACAATTTTTGATTTTTCAATTTATAAAATAGATTAAAAAAACCTACTGGCCGATTTATTTATCTAACTATTTTAGAAATAATAATGGGAAGATAACAAAAAATATTTCATAATCTCTCCATAATAATCTCTCACCAATTTTCAAAAAAAAAAAAAAATTAAAACTTACATTCCTTTTCTCTCCTTCAAAAAATCAGACAATATTTTTCATGAAAGTTGTGGGTATCTGTCTATATCTTATATCACTACAAGAAAATACAGATTTCGCGACTAAAATAAATTTTTTCGTCGCTGAAAGTAGTACAAATGGCGACTAAAATGGATTTAGTCGCCAAAATTGGTGACTTTTGCCGACTAAAAGAGTTTAGTCGCCGAATACAAGGCTTTTAGCGACTAAAAGGCAGTTTAGTCGCCCAATGTGGGGGTTTTAGCGACTAAAGGTTGTTTAGTAGCCAAAAGTGATGGTTTTGGCGACTAAAAAACAGATTAGTCGCCGATTGTTAGTGTTTTGCCGACTAAAACAGTTTAGTCGCTGAAAGTGAAGCTTTTTTGCTACAAAAAAAAAATTAGTAGCTAAAAACAGTCCATTGCCGACTAAAATTCAGTTTAGTAGCCAAAAGGGGACGTTTTTGGCGACTAAAAACAGGTTTAGTCGCCAAAACTAATTATTTTTAGGCGAAACTTAATTTTTTTGTGACTAAATTATAATTAGTAGCCGAAAATGATAGAATTGGCGACTAAAAATTTAATTTAGTCGCCAAAAGTGGCCTAAATTTTTTTTAAGTAAATAATTTATTTTTTACATAAAGTATATTGAATTAAAAAAATTATATTTATATATATTATTTTGTATTAATAGCGGTTAATATACTATATAAATAATATATATTGCATATATATTAATGTGATGATGTTGTGGCATAGTGAAGGGAGTGTTTGCCAAAAGGTTGGGAATGTGGTGGTGGGATGTCTCAAGTTCAAAACCTGTGAGCACCACAGGTTCAAAAATTTTTTTTTTTAAATATGCTTTTGGCGACTAAAACAGGTGGTCGCCAAAAGCTTTATTATTGGCGATGAAAAAAATAGTCGGCAAATGTATAAATTAAAAAAAAAATTCACTATTGGCGACTAAAACTTTAGTCGCCAAATGTATAATTTTAAAAATATAAATGAGCTTTGGCGACGAAAATTTTAGTCGCTACAGAGTTTGTTTTTGGCGACTATAAGTGGGTTAGTCGCCCATACCTTCCGCGACAGTTTTCCAGCGACAAACATGGCGACTAAAAAATTTAGTCGGGAAAACCTAAAATCCGACTTTTGGCGACTAAAAAATCACTTTTGGCGACTAAATTAGTGTGTATTTTCTTGTAGTGTATATTATATTATAACATAACAAAAAAAATTAAAAATCAGATATACAAACCGATAAAATTAATAAATTAGATTTTTATTTATTCGGTTAAAATATTTCTTTTGCCTCTCAATATCCAATTTTAAATTTTAAAAATCTATAAAGTCTATCTAGACAAATCTGATTTGAAAATATCTCTCACTATCATACTTTAAATCAATAAAACTCACATATGTATCACATATTTAACTCGCATCATAACTTACCTAAATAATAATAATAATAATTAAAAGTAAATAGAAATCATAGATAAATTAAATTTAAAAAAATAAATAAAACCCCACAACTCCATCTAAAATAAATTGAAAAAAAAACAAATAGAAATCACAAAAAAATAAAGAAGATAAGAATTTAGATATGGATCTCAAAAAGATATAACAATATCTAAATTTGAATTATGATTTAATAATATAATTATCTATTTTTTTGATATATATATATCTATCAAAATTTTAAATCACTGACAAATTAATCAATTCCCTAAAATTATTGATTTTTCAATTTATAAAAAGATTTAAAAAAAACTATTGACTGTTTTATTTATTTAATTATTTTAGAAATAATAATTATCTTTTAATTTATGAATTTCAAATGACAAGATAACAAAAATATTTTATAATCTCTATATCATAATCTCTCTCACCAATTTTCAAAAAAAATATTAAAACTTGCCTGCCTTCTCTCTTCTCCAAAAAATCAAATAATATTTTTTATAAAAGATGTGAATATCTATCTATATCTTATATATTTAATTATAACATAACAAAAAAAACACACACAAAAAAAATGAAAAAAAACTAAAAATCAAATATACAAACAGCTAAAATTAATAAATTTGATTTTTACTTATTCAGTTAAAATCTTTCTTTTGCATCTCAATATCCAATTTTAAATTTTAAAAATCTTTAAAGTTTATCTGAACAAATCTAATTTGATAATATCTCTCACCATCATACTTTAAATCAATAAAACCCACATGTTTATCATATATCTAACTCACATCATAACTTGCCTAAATAATAATAATTAAAAACAAGGGAACTTTTTTAAGTAAATCCTCTTTCTAAGTGTTCTATTTCATCTAACTCATATTCTTTTTGAGTATTCCATTAGGTCCTATTTGAGATAAGAATACCAAAATACCATCAATCTCTCCTACACGTATTTCCATTCTGAAATCAAATCTGATAAAAAAAAAATACTCATCTTCATCATTCTATATTTCACTCCCCAAATCTTTCCTTTCCAAAACCCTTAATGTTGCAACAAATCTCACAAACCCTAATCCTAGGTTTCACATTGGTTCGTCTACCATCCCATCATCATCCCACTGTCGCTGACGATTGGAAGTTCACATTGATTCACCGCTGCCATCACGAAATCTACCCACCGTTTGCATCTTTCCGTTCTCCCACCGTCCCACCGTCATCGAA